CCCCAAAACCCCAAAACCCCCAAAACCCCAAAACCCCAAAACCCCATACTAAATGATAAATATTGAAATGGAGTCTATTGAAACTAGCGAATGTAGTGGGCCAGTAAGTCCTAAACGATACTACCCTTTGGCTTAACCTCCATTGGTTAATGTATAGCCCTCTCTAGATTCTCCATATAAAATTTGTTTTGATAGTTACTACAATTATATTAGCAGCATCGCCAAATTAAAAAAATATATTTCCTCAACGAAAAAATGCGAAATTAATTTTCATAATACTTTTTGAATTTTTCATTTAAATTTCCCTCTAAACAAGCTTATTATTATCGTAAAAATTCTTTGTGATAGCCATAAATTTGGGTTTACCTATTTTCAAATCTACCTACCTATAGCCTGTAGTAATCTTACAACCGGATATTTATCATAAAAATTATAGAGAGAAAAACAAGCACCAATCTTCAGAAGCTTTGGAAGGAAGCAAAATGTGATTAGACCAAGACTGAACTCAATCAATTTTGGAACAAAATCTTTCAAAATTGACAAAAAACCTATCTTAAAACTGGAGGACTATTGTAAGTAGTTTCATCTTTTACTTCTGTAAAAAGTGTCACCATTAAACTTCTGAGATAAAATGTGATAAGCCTGACTAAAGCTTTAGCTTCAAACCGAATCTCATCTAGTGCAAGCAAAGACTTTTCCGAATTGAATGAAATAGAATCAGAAGGTATATCTTGGTCTCAATCCATAGACTTTGGATACCAAAATAAACACTTTTTGGAGTTCTTAAATAAAAAGAAATCAAAATGGGAGTTCATATCTAATAAAGTTCTTTACTCCAATGATGAAAGGTTAAAGAGTTAGTGCATTATTAGCTTACTTTAAGGCCCAAAGAAGATTTATATGAAAGGTGATGGCAGAAAAAGCTCCAAGTAAGTATTCTGATCATTTACCTTCGATAGAGTGGTGCAGTTCGGAAGATCAAAAAGCCCATTTAAAAGGCTACCACCTCAAATTAAGGCCAAACGAAAATATTCTTTAGCCAAATAAAAGATCAAGTGGATCAGAAGGCATCAGTCCTACCATAAAAGAAGACCAAGTAAGCTCCTGAATGGCTTATCTTATAAGAAAATGCTTAAGGAAGAAAATCGTTTGGATTCCAGAAGAGTATCATAGTTCCCCTAAATGGTTTAGACTTCATTCTTCAATATGTGTCCCTTTGAAGAAGTCTCCGAGAAAGAGTCTGAAAAAGAGGCTGAGGATAATTCTGACAAAGAGAGTTCTAAAAGCACTGAGAAATCAAACTCTATCATTCAGCCAAAGCCACTTAAACTTCAAAGGAGAAAATTTTCTGAAGTAGCAAACAAGTTAGGGAAGAATCCAAATAAATTTATGCAAAGTTTTGGATTAGACTCGTAGTATTATTTGTTGTTGACATTAAATAGTATTTTTCCTAGCAGGAATATCTCAATTTCGGCTATTCTAGACCCTCCCAAATTTCCAAGGAACTCAAAAACAATAGTTGAAGGAAGAAAGGAGATCGAATCAGGACATAAAGGTTTTCTAAAAAGCTCAGACAATGATATTTCGTTAAGTGCATTGAGTCCTGGAAAGATTTTCCCAAAGAAATCTTCTTCTACGATTGCAAGTGTGCTTGGCAAGAGAAAGGAAGTCTGCTTTAATTATTCTAATAATTTCCCAGTTTTTCGGAAGAGATCTTTACGACCAAACGAAGAGGACTCAGAAAAGAATGCGTCCAATATCATCAATAATAACCAAAAACTTCCCACATTTCACAAGAGACTAAACTCACTAAGTCCTCCCAAAGCATCATTTGGAGATGAGGGAAGGAGTGCCAGAAGAATGTCTTTTTGTCTTGCTCAATACGATAAAACAAGAGGTATCACAGAAGAAAGGTATTCCAAATATAAATGACAAATTATAGAAATTCGGACGTAAAAATCAGCAGCTGTTTAGGAAAACTCACTCTACCAAAAATACCTCCAACCATTAGAGGGGGAAAGATCGAATCTCCTCTCAGCAAGGGTTTTTCTTTATAAACCCAGATTCATCTCAGAAATTAATAGCGGATGGAGGGTTCGCATTAGATTGGTTTTTCACCCACAAAATTAGTACTTACTTTTATAACAAGTTATAGATTTTATCATAAATAAAATATGAGAATATTTGAGTTCCAACAAAAGAAAATCCCTCAAAGAAAAGTGAAAAGATGACATCGACAAGATTACACAAACATTCAAGAATGAAACACTGAAGTAAGTTCCTCATAAATTCTTTAAAGGACTACTAAAAGTATTCTTCTAATCTCTAATGTTCATAAGTTTTTTTGATTCAATACGATATAGTCATAAATAAACAAGTTGAAGAGTACCCAAAAATGCTCAAATGACTCATAAATATCTCTAAATAAGCACAAAGGAGTATCTAGCTTCAAAAATTTTGGGAAATACATCAGCGCCTTGGCTAAGTTTAACAAGGCTTGGAATCTGTCTACTTTGAAAAATTCTACAAAAGAGACAAGCAAAGATCTTGATAAAATGATAACCCGCCTCTCTACTCTCGAAATGAAGATAATTATTCCCAGAAAAATACTAAACGCTTCTATTATTCTAGACAATAAAGCGTAAGGCATGCGTATAATTTATAGAAAGAAGAAGACAAAAGGGCTGCTATCTTCCAAGAAATCAGAGCGCGACCGAAATAAACCTCAAGGATATCTTTACCGTCCTTCTGCACTAAAAATATAATTCCTCATTTCAACTTGAAATTTCCAGTTAGGGGTTTTGGGGTTTTGGGGTTTTGGGGTTTTGGGGTTTTGGGG